GCGTTGCTGCGTTTCTCGGCCCGTTGCTGCGTTTCTGTGAGCGTTGCTGCGTTTCTCGGTGTGTTGCTGTAAATGCTCACCTTGATGACTAATGTCTCTGCCTGTCATATTCCATGTTTATTCCATTTGTCTCTCACTAGATTCTTTCGTTAATTCGTTGTAGCTGAATGTTCGTGTTTCTCGTAGACAGAGCAGTGTGAAGGTGAAGTTTTCCTGTGAGACTCTGGCTGAGCAGCTGGTGGTCTGGCTCACCTCAGAAGGTGAGACAGCTTCACACCAATTCAAAACGCACACATTCTGACCAGGACCTGGAGTCTGGAGTGTTTGTAGACATCTTGTTCATAACCTTCTTCCTTCTCTGGTCTAGGGTTCACCCTGAAGGACCTGGAGTCGGTCCCCTTTGGCGTGGCTCTGCCCATCAGAGAGGCCATCTACCGCTGCCGCGAGCAGCCGTGTTCCGATTGGTCGGAGGAGGTCTGTCTGCTGATTGGGCGACAGGATCTGACCAAACAAGCCCACAAGATGACCCTGGCCAAGAGCAAAGCCGTGAGTTTTCTATCCAGAGTTACATCAGAAAAATAATCCAACATAAATAAATAAATACAAATTTGAGTAGCTGCCATTCTCCCCCTAAAATGAAAAGACATTCGTCTTAAATCTAAAATAAATCTTAAAAGAGCAGTGAGGTTGTTAAGATAAAACTGTGTGTGTGTGTGTGCGTGCAGTCTGTTGGTTTAGGTCTGTCCTTGGAGCCTCCGGTGGCCACAGAGGCAGACGAGGAGGAAGACGGGATGTCGGACATCATTCAGGAGGTAACACACACACACACACACACACACACACACACACACACACAGTAAACAGGATCACAACCTTTTCACAACCTTTTCTATTAGATATGTTGTTGTTGATGTTTGTGTTGTCACGTGACGTGTGGTCCTCTCCAGGTCACAGGACTGATCTGGAGTCAGGATCTCAGGGTCCAGGAGGTCCGGAGGCTCCTGCAGAGCTCCAGGCCGGTCCGGGTTAGTGTTGTCCAGCTGCCGGAGGTTTCTGACCACGAGTACATAGAGGAGAAGGAGAACAAGTGAGTGTTCATTCTCCTCAGATTATCATCTTTACGACGGTCCTTGAACACATCATGTGTGACGAACGGTTCCATCAGAAAAAGCAGCCGAAACGAAGCTTAAAATTGTGATATTTAATCAAAACATTTTATTCTTCATGTCTCATTTAAAATCTCCTCTAATAAAGTGTTCACTTTAACCAGATTGTGTAAAAGGGGAGAGGAGGAGGTTGAGGAGGGGGGAGGGGAGAGAGGAGAGAGAAGAGAGAGAGAGAGAGAGAGAGGGAGAGAGAGAGAGAGAGGGAGGAGGGGAGGAGAGGCTGAAACATGTGAATAGTTCAATATATATAACATATGGAGCCTCCATTTTTTTAT